CTTGTACCACGAAAATGTTAGTTTCCACACGGCCAGACAAACAAATTAATTTATGAAGGTGAAAAACGTAGAACTTATGAGCCATCCTGAATCTTGTGACTTTTTTCTGTTCCCAATTTTCGATTTTCATCACTAGGCTGTCGAAGAGTATGAAAAACACGTTTATGAAGTTACCACGGAGGAGTGGCACAAGTGTTTGTAAAATTGGTTTAATCGTATGAAAAAGTCCATTTACGCAGTGTGAAAATTTTGAGAAACAATAAATTAATTTTTGACCTTTAATAGTATTTTTTTCTTACTCATTCCGGAAACTTTTAGTGCGCCTCCCGTGTAACACGCATTGTATCACATGCTATATTTCTCATTCGTATATATATTATGTAATCAAATATATAATTTTAATGCAAACGGTATTTCGTTAAAGGTAAATAAAATATCGTCAAGGAAATATACTTTAACTTTTTATATACCTTTATTTTTTAAAAAGAAAACGTTATAAAAATTAGCCACATGACCTATTTCATATTTGTTTCTGATCAGCATGTTTTTCAAGATCATATTTTTTTTATACCCGAACTTACGCGATAGGTGGGCCCGAGCGCTATCAGTGTAAGTCGGATTCGCGTAAGTCGGGGTACAATTTTGCATGTAAAGACGTACAAAGTATGTGTAATTGGGACCGGAGACTAAATAAAACAATAATTTAGGAAATAAATGTGTAACATGATTTTTTCTCCTCCCGTAATACCTCCTCGTAGCATGCTAGTAATTTTTTTATTCCTTGTTTTGTAACAGAAATTCGCTGTTAGTTGGAGTCTATGCATTTCAAAATTGTTAATCTTTTTTAATTGAACCGAGGGCTACTTTGATGGCGTTCACACTAAAGACAAATATACGAGAAAATTAAAAAAGCGTGTGACTCCGAATTCGCGTATATCGAGGTAGCGTCGGGGTATTATTGTATGCAATATCAATCTAAATAATTGCTTCTTTGACCTGCAACGAGTAGTATAAAGGGCCACACGCCGAATCCCTAGTATTCTGCGGGCTTCATGGCTAAAGCAAGCCGAATATTGGGCAAAATAATTCGGGCGGTGCGTGGCTGGAAAACTGTCGACGTGAAATGTATATTTTACCGTCATCCCACGCAGCGCTGCGTGTTTTGTCAAGTTTAATTTGTACAAATCGTTATTACGTATACATCATATACTGTCTACTTCTTACATATAAAAATTAGGGCCCATCGGCAAAATGTTCAATTTTTCAGGTCAAGTTCTTTTTAGACGCTGTCCGTTGCAAAACTGTCGTTTATAATTTTGTAAAACTACTTACATAATTGTCATACACTTCAAAGAATTTTTTTTTTTATATATGAAACTGACTAGCGCTCGATAGTACAATATATTGATTTGAATCAAATTCAGTATTAAAACATTTTGCATTAGCGACTGCCAACATATAGACATTTAGATAACATTCTGAAAGTGCTAATCTTTCGAAGAAAAATCAGTAAGTTCAGTTGCTTAAGAGATTTGCCGTCAAACCATCAGACAGACGAACAGACGGGCACACATTTAAGACTCATTGGGAACTCAACATCTTCAAACAACTAAAAGAAATTAAGTGGAAACCTTTATTTAACATAGTTCACAAAATCCCACGAATATTATAATTAGAAATAAATTTATCAAATTAGAATCTGGATTCGAGTCGATCAATGGATGACAGGAAATTTCAACTTTATTGACATATTAAACAACAATCAACCGTACGTTCGTTCCTTTTTAGGGTTCCGTACCCAAAGGGTAAAACGGGACCCTATTAGTAAGACTCCGCTGCTGTCTGTCCGTCTGCATTTCATGAACCGTGATAGTTATACAGTTGAAATTGATTGATTCACAGATGATGTATTTCTGTTGCCGCTATAACAACAAATACTAAAAAAACAGAATAGAAAATAATTAAGTGGGGCTCACATACAACAAACATTATTTTTTGCCGTTTTTATAGGCAATGGTACGGAACCCTTCGTGCGCGAGTCCGACTCGCACTTGGCCGGTCTTTTATTAATTTACACGATCCGTAGTTACCATAGAGACCTCAAGACGGTCTATTAGTAGTGTCTTCCTTTTTATTATCCTTTCCGAGAAATCCTACAAAAAACCGGGTGATTCATACAATGACAAAAGAAGCAAAAGCCTTCACGCCAACCAGAGTTTGGTGCGACAAGTTTATCCATGATTTATTAAGGGAACGTTCAATTCTTTGTAGAAATAAATTGTAAATAAACTCGATAAAATACGAAAGGAAATTGTGCGTGTATTATTAGATCTCAAAGACTAGCTCATGCTTATAAATCATAATAGATTCGTCAGGGGTTTCTTTTGTGCCTTTGCTATTCACCTCATCGGTAAATAACTGGGCCTGCCGAATCCCGTTCAGTATTTTTTTAAGGTTCCCTTGGTGCGTTTCATCGTTCCGTCACGTCGTCACGTGTCCGCGTGTCGAGCTGCTGGGGGGCAATTCACATCGTCCGTGGGCTGCGTTTCGAGAGCGGCCTTGGAGGCGTTGCAATGTGATCGTTTCTTAACAGCGATTTCTACACTGGGCCGCTCCAAGAGCGCCGCTTCAGAACGTGGCTCGGGCTACGTTGCACAACGAGCTTACGTCAGCGAGAGCGAGCAGAGCCGGCTTACGTCATTCGAGCGCGGCCGCGGCGTCGCGGGATATTGGGACCTATGTCTAGGCGGCTTAGGGCCGGGTTGGCGTGCGCCCGCGCTAAGTATGATAGAGCGTTTATGTTCACGTGAGTGGATGAGGCTCCGGCGCGCCGCCGGCTCAACAATTCTGAGAAACGGTTCGAGGCTCTCTAGTTTCGGACTTGAATATGAAACGTGTAACACGACGACGATGACGACGACGAACGAGCGCGCTTTTCAACGGCCTTTAGTGCAAAGGGGAACGTTGCGGCTCCGTTTCACCGCAATGCCTATTTGTGCACGGGCAAAGGCGTAAATTCAATCGCATCGTTTTAAATTTTAATTCAAGAATTATATTTAAATTTTTTATAAATGCTCTAAAATATGGTGTAGAACATTTATATAGGTACCTATTTGCGATTAAAATATTTTGAATTATTTAAATAACCTTTAATATTCGTAAGGAATAATCCGAAGATTCCAGTGTATTATATTTTCAAAAACGAAGTATGTTTAAATGAACCACGTATATTGGAGTCTAGCCAATTGATGCAAATATATAATAAGGTCTTTAAGGGTATGATATTTAAAAAAAAATGTAATTTCGAAATTACCTCAGAATGTCTATGATAGGTTGGTTCCCAAAATTTTTATATTGGCTTTGTTACTAGTGTCCTGGCTTCTCCGAAGTCAAATGAGGCTCTGATACTCGCCAAGATTTGCAAACTCACGTCGGGCATTAGTTTAAGAAAAACTTATGTAAAAGATGCTAAGCAACGTTGTGCTGATGTAGTATAATATTTTTGTTAACCTTCCAGGGCGACGTTATCACTCAGCGATAAAGCTCTTTTCTGATAAATAAAATAATAGCAACTACTTTGTATACAAATAATATACATAACTTTTTGTAAAAAAAAATTGCACACGAACATGTGGTACATGTGTTAAAGTGATAACCGCCACCCCTAGACATCGTCATCACATGCTCTGCCATGCTTTCGAAGACTGAGTCGCGGTTATCTTACGGACGTGACGCAACGCATGAGTTTAATACCAGTTCCGCGTCATGCCGGTCTTCTTTGAGACAGAGATACTTTCCAGGACGAGCCTGTCTATTCGTGCAACAGCAGAAGCTGCTTCGTGACTCTAACACAATAAAAGGTGTAGAAAAACTTTCTCAATGTAATTTGTGTCCGTACCGATTAAATAAAAATTTCATACAAAACGTCCTTTACGTTGAGGGCATAAGTTCCGTAAACAACCAAAGCTGTCAGTACAGCTGGGTGCACTTATTAATATTGCTGCATAAACTATAATGGGGCACCTAAGTTTACATGTGAAATAATTTTTAAGTAAGTATAAATTAAGCCGGAAAAATGCCTTCTGCAGTTTGTTTTCAAAGCTCCCGCGACGGTTAGAATAGCGGGTTCTGGGCGAAATCGTTCGTTTACGAGTACGTTACGGCTGAATTGATATCTTATTCACGGCACCCTGCATTCAATGAACGCACTCACGTAAGTATGTGTGTAAATTGCTCTCTTGCAGTTGTACGCATGAACGGATGTGAATGAAATTCGAAAACTCGATAGCTTCTGCGCTGTATTCAAACCAACCCTACGATTCTCACCCTATTTTTTTTATTTATGTAAAAAGTTATCAAGCGAGCAGACGCTTTCACCTGATGTTATTGTCTACCACCGTCCATAGATAACCACAACACCTGATGCGTTGCCAACCTATTTAAAAGTGGAACCCGGTCACTTCGCTGACCAGACGGAGCGCGAAAGTATATACCTTCCACTTGACGCTAGGGAGACGCTGTGAGGCCGGTGTTTACTGACTGGGACAGACCTGCCCGAACATCGTGCTACAGCGGAGGCTGCTTGCATGGCCCTACCACAGTGAACGGCAACACTGGAGCGCAGGACTTCTGTGAGGTCTCTGTACTTGCCCGGACGGACCTGACCATAGTGCAACAACGGAGGCTGCTGCGCAGTCTTACCACAGAGAATAGCAAAACTTGAAGGCCCTTTTTCTGTGAGGTCTGTGTAGTTGCCCGAAGGGACCTACCCGTTCGTGCAACGGCACAGACTGCTGCGTGTCCACACCACAGCGAACGGCAAAACTTTAACGCCTGCCTTCATCGAGGTCGGTGTGCTTGCCCGGACGGACCTACCATTCCAACGGCAGAGTATTTACTTAATAGACAGTGAACGTCATAACTAAATATAACTGCGTTGGGTACCTGCGTGGCCCAACCACAGCGAATGGCATAACTTGAGTTACAACTGCTTAGGTTACCTGATGTGGCGAGAAGGGCGGCCGCGAGTTTGGCGGCGGCGGGTACCGCTGCGGGTATGCGCCCGGCGGACCGTAGCCGGCGGCGGGCTGCTGGGCCGCGCCCGCCGGACCGCCGCCGTAAGGTGGACCGCCGTAGCCACGCGGCGGCTGTAGAACAAACACGTGAACTGTGAATGGCCGCTCTACAAACACACGGAACGTCAATGCGGATAGCTCTGATACAGCATTGGAAGTGAACGAATAGGGCAAATGAAGATAGGGCCACATGCGTATAAAGTAAGAGTCTGTAGTACCCTGACTTCATGCGCTAAAATATATTGCATGAAGAGTGTAAGAAAATATATTAATAATATTCGATTTCATGGAGCAGAGATGACGAAAACATGCGTAACAAGTTCTCAAAGGTTTAAAGTATAATGCACAACAGTATTCGATCTCTATATATTATTTCGCAAAGGCGTTTTTGTCGGACGCCATAACTTTCAAAATTCTTCAACAAAATTAATGATTCAAACAGATTTTTCAAGATTATGTTTGCCGCTATTGACGAAATATATATAATATCCCACTTGAGAGCCTGGAGCGATCAGTTCATTTCCATTCTTTATTATCATCGTGTTAATAATACTATAAAAAGTCTCAAACACAAACGTTCCTTTACAAGTTTTTTAGAATTTAGCAACTGATTAATTTTGAACATTTTGTCCCATAAAGATTTACCTATTCTACGCAATCTAAATAAGAGTAAACTAATTTATATTTGTAAAAAAACTTACGTTTAAAAATAAGAATCTAATACCTATAATATATATCATACACATAATCGGAATCTCGGAAACGGCTCCAGCGATTTTCGTGAAATTTAGATGTGCTTAGATTCGGGGGCGAAAAATCGATCTAGCTAGGTTTCATTTTTAGAAAATGTCCTTTTATCCCTGTTTTCAAGGAATGAAAAATATTATTCGAATATGACGGTAAATTTCTCCGAAAAAAATGTTATAATAGCTCGGTCGGTAATCGGGCGGCCCCGAAACAGAAGGCCGCGGTTCGTGTCACGATCATTTACACATTTATTTTTTTTTACTTTTTTTTCTATACCAGATCATTGCTTTATTTTTAAATTTCCAACATACAGGATTTACCAAAAAAAAACAAAGCAAAGCTCGGTCCGCTAGGTACTGTATGATAATACCCATCTATTGATAATTTGTTTAAATGAAAGATTGCGAAGTAAGATCATACCTTCCATTAATAAATACTAATGTGCACATGATTATTTATTATATATGTTAGATAAAATAAGCATTTGATACCGGGTTATACAGCCATGTATAGCCAGCCAGCCATAATTGATTTATCATTAACTTTTACTTAAATGTGAATACTCCAAATTTTAATATACAGCGTGTCGTTACCATCGCGACAATAAATGAACTCACGTCTTACGCTTCTTGCCAATAATCATAAAAAAATATTAACGTTAAACAAAATCCATAAATAAAAAAAAATATTTTTCAAACAAAGTAATTAAGTAAAAAGGAAACAAAATTTGTAACACCTATACAACTCGCGCCACAGCGTCGTATTACAAACCTCTCCTTCTAACATTATGTTTTGTCTCTTTTAAATTCATTCAACCCATTCATATGCTTTGTGACCTTGACAAATGAACTTTACGTTACGCTTTTATAGGTAAGGATGTTCTAAAATTCTTTGTTTTGGAAAATTTAATAACTCAATAAATATTGATGTTTAAAGAATTTAAATGTTTAATACAACTTTAAAAAGTTATGCCCTATATGTGTGTTCATTTATTGTCGCGGTGGTAACGACACGCTGTATACATGAGGAGACGGCTGCAAACTTTAGCAATGAAGCGCAGATAAGAAAAAAGGTTTCAATCGAGAACAAAGTTTAAAAAGTTACTCATTATTGCGCAACTGATAATTTCGAAATTTATTCAACCCAAAAAGTAACCTTTATAAGTTCGAAACTGAAGGTAGCTTTAAAAAACCTAAAGTCTGTTAGTTCCTTGTCCCTAACACTTTGGCCTTTGTGAACTTCTGGGCAATTCAGCAATACAGTGTTAGACGAGAATCGCCATGTCGCACGCCGTTCGGCAAACTATGTCAGAAGGTTATGCTTTCATATACCTGTCCCAGGAGCTAGACGCCCAAGGAACCGATTGCTGGATGTCGTGAAAGAGGACATGAGAGCCGATGGACTGACCCCTGAGGATGCTGAAGCTCGGAAGTGGAAGAGTATGAGTAGGAAGGCAGACCCTGACGGGATTAATGCCAGCCAGAAGAAGGAGTGTTAGACGAGAGTCACTTGTATCGTATTTACCCGGCTTAGCCGACAACTTCAATCCGCTGTCACACAACAGAAACTTTTTGTTTGACAACAGAATCCATTGCTACAATCCCTCTAGATACGACGTCACCCGGCCATCGAACCAAATATTTCTTAATTCACTTTTCTGGTACTTGTCGACGATAAGGAGATGAACTGTCACTAATAAATAAATATATCGCTTAATTCATGGTCACCATTCGTACATAAAGCGAACTTTACTGTTCCATAGTTATGTTACAACACTAACTTAACACGGCCCTCCCCCTCTAGTTGTCAAAAATTTATTATCCAATTTTATATTCAATTTATAACGTCATATTTGTACAACTCCTAAAATAAAGAACTTCTTTATATAGAGTTGAGTGTAATGACACCCCCAATAACTAAAATTTAAATCAGGTGTGATATTAAAATTCAAAGATGTAAGTAATAACTATCGAGTAAGAAAGTGGTAAAAGGCAATGACTCCACTAGAGCCACGAGGTAAAGAAATATTTTTACCTGTACATATAGCAACTAGCATCTAGAAAGCAATTTTATAAAAGTTCAGAAATTTAATGTTGGCAGCCTTAACACAACAAAATTTTAAGTTCAAAGTCGCCGGGCAATCTAGGCTTTTTATTATGTACATTGCGAAGGTAGAGGCAAACTTAAATGGACACAATTATAACTTTAAACAAGCCTTGGGCTTTAAATGAACAACAGCGATGATACAATTAATAGTATTGTTCAAAAGGTTATTAATAAAAACAAACTTTAATCTCTTCATAATATAAAACAAAATCAATCCCGATCTAGTGATATTATAAACGACAAAATAATTGTTATCATAGAGATGAACGGATCTAACAAAAAAAAATAAACATGAATGTGTCGATCTGTATTGTTTGTTTAACTTTATTTGTGCTCGTTATCGTGAAACGGTGCCGAAGATACAGAAAACTCTTTAACAAGGCCGCCACACGAAACCTACTCAAACTGTAATATCAATTTTCAGCCTGATAACGCGCCTAAGTAATTGACGGCCGAAGTAATACCCCACTACGCCAACAATGCCGCCCGTTACGGCTTTCAGTTCTCATTTTGTGCCGCGATGAAAATTCAATTATACGCACGACGCCCGGCGAGCGACGCCGGCCGTGTACCAACCCCCTTTGATCGAATGTTTTACATCCCGAAAACTACGGCCCGCCACTGGAGTGGTTTCCGGGTACAGTTTCTGACTGCGAGACACGAGGACCGTGTTCGCCAATTAGGCTTACATTTTTACGAACATTTGGCATGTTTTATGGCGGATTCAATGATTTACTAGGGCGGTGTTGAGGGGTGGGTTGTGCGCGAGGGGGGGGGCGCTCTCTGGCATGAGGGTTGTGCGGGGATCGGGTGGCGGAGGGTAGGGGGGGGGGGGGGGGGGGGGGCGTCGACGCGCCATTGGCCGACACTGCATCGATCGCGCGACGAGCTCAAAGCGGCCCGCCCGCGCCAGCCAGCCTCCATCTACGTTAATAAGTAATCATCCGACCCCGCGATACCTCAGCGAGTTTTCCGGCCAGGGCTGGCGAGCGCCGAGACGGGCTTCGCATCTCCTCCAGTCGGTCGGGACAAAGAGCTGCCGCATAGGGCGACATCCTTATCGATTTGTGCAATAATTGACCCGCGGGTACGTGCGCGATCCGCGCCACACCTCCACCCCTTACGCACCTACATCCCGTCATACGCATTTCCATCTACCCGCACCGAACAATGCATTCCCCAGTCGATAAAATGAGCACAAATACAATGGTTATAAGTTTTAATATTAAATCGGTGAAATAGTCATAAACATTGGGCTCCTGTTGAAAACATTTTGTTGGTAAATAAAAATCACGCACGAGTAGAGTCGGGCGACCGCAGTGACCTATTTTTACCTCGACGGCGGGACCGCTTCAAGAGTCTCGTAAAAGTTCATTTGAAGATACGAGAGGGGGGCTTTTTGTTAGGTTTCAACTCGTCGGAGAGCGGGTCGGCCATTACGTACGGACCGCGAGTACCCAAGTCGGAAAACAAACAATACAGTGCACGGTGTAGGTCTTTCATAGACATAACGTGAATGAATACATTTTTTAGAATCATAAAAGTAACACTCATGAATTCTATTTTCTGCATCCATATTGTATTATGCAATTAAATAAAAGGTTGTAGGACGTTTTCGAAATTAATGTCGCTTACATCGCTTACATCGTCGCTTTACATACTTGAGAACATCATGTATGTACGTAATAATATCCACCTATTTACGAAAAAACTATCCATATCGCGTCGGGGCCGTGGTGACACTCTGGAAGTACCGAGGTTTAAATTGGCTAAAACCAGAAAGTCGTTTCTTGGTGGATGCATCAACTTTCATAATAAAATAGGTGAGACCCACAAACAACTAAGTACAAACAATTTCAAACAATTTGTAATAGCTACCTTAATGGCAAGGGCCTACTATAATGTCCAAGAATACATTGAGGAAAAGGATGTTTGGAAATGACTCTTGCTCTGCACTTGCAAGACCCCTGGAATGAAAAGACTTTGAATGAGTTTTTGTATTCGAAAATATATAAATTAATGACAGTTTAATTGTGACGGAGCGTAGTAAGGATATTATTACAGTTTAGGGAATATTTTACTATGCGATCTTCTAGAATATCGAGGAAACCTTGGGGGTCCTTGGAAAGATTGTAATCGTCCCGAACGATTATTATCTCTGAAAACATAACAGGAATTTATAAACTCTGTGATGCCAGTTACTGATTTACTTTGTTGTT